CACAGAGCCCCAAGAAAAGGAAAGAAGTATCAAAAAGTGTCTTTAGCCCTAAGGGTCATATTGAATGAGCATGAAGGACATTATAGCAGCATCCCCATCAAACCAGTGACTGAAGACAGACAAGATGATGTACCCATCAGCAGATCCAAGATGTAAAACTAAGGAAGAGACTCTCCTCCACAGACCTACCCTGACAGTCCTTGGCAATAAGCCCCTGGAATTTATATGCAATACAATCTTAACAAAATGGAAGAAACTAGGAACTGATTGAGATGCAGTTTCTGCCACCTGCAGGAATGGGGGTTTGTAAAAGAAATTAAGTTCAGTTATTTAAAAAAGAGAAAGTTTTATCTCACAAAGGACTTCAATAATCTATGTTTTCTACTTTTAAAAATCTGAATCAAACCAGGCAAAACAAAATTATTTCATCGAGCTGATGGTAGGTATTCATTATACTATTTGGTATATCTTAGATGGTTGAACTATTTTACAAAAGAAATACTGCAAAAGAAAATATATTTATTCCAGTCCTGAATCTATGGACTGAAATTTGCCTCCTGAACCATAGCATCTGTTATGATTTAGGCAGTATCCTCAGTGCTTTTAAGTGATTCACCTCATTGAATGTTCATGGCACTCCTCTTGGGTAGATGCCAATTACATTTTTCATTTTACAAATAAAGAAAGGAAAGCTAATTTAAAGAAACAGTATAAAAAGAATACTTTCTTAGCCATCTTTATCAGATTTTTAAGATGTAGAAATAGTTGTCTTTTTTTAAGAAAATAAATAGAAAAAAATCATTTAAGAGAGTCAAAATGAAAAGACTCAAACAGGAAGATTCCAGTGAGGGCTTCAAACCAGCACAGGAACAGGAAGGGACTGGGTAACAGGGCAAAGTCTTCTCTAGAAAGCGACTTTTTTCCATGTATAAAATGAAAGGTATAGAAGAAGTTACAGCAGGTAAGGGAAGAAGGCCTCAATGGGCTCTGGTGTATGAGGGTGAATAGGGAAAGATATGAGAGGTGGTGGTGGTGCAAACAGGGTAAATACTCAGCGGAAGTACAAGCTGTAAAAATACTGGCATTTCTGTACTTGAATATAAATAGTCACTGCTCTAAAATGTACTTTCTCCCCTCTTGTCCTTCTCCCAAGGGCCCCCAAATCCTACTGAGACAGCAGCTAGCCAGCAGGATGCTAAGGCGAAGCTCCCGAGCTGGGACCAGGCCTGGAATGACTCCTTGGTGGCTTTGCAACCTGGTTATTAAATTGTTTCTATACCACACCTAGTGATAATCCTTGTTATCATCCAAGCTATACTCTTTTTGAACTCATCAACAAAGGCACATTTGAGCAGTCTCAACTTTCTGTGTGTTAAGAACTCTTGGAAAGATGACTGCATTTTCAAACCTTCATATCATTGTAAGTGGTCAAACCTTAGACACCTAATCCTGGAGTAGGAATCAGATGAAGCCAGCTGAGAGCATGAAGAGGACCCAGGGAGGCAAGGATGAGAAGAGGAAGCTGTGCTAAGGGGTTAGGAGGCCAAGAGAAGGAGGTGAGAGAACATAAAAGGCAATGAACTTCACAGTCTTGCCCTCACTGCACCACTAAAGAATCCCACACCCCACAAGATGTTAACAGGTACCATAGCTATTTACCAACTTTAAAATGTTTCATTGCCCTACAAAAGTCCTTAAGATCATTTTCTTGTCTTTAAACTTCAGTTTTTCCATTTCAAAGATGGCTGGTTTGATGATCTACATCCTTTTTAGTTCTCTATACAGTAACACTGAATGCATGAGCTGATCTTTAAGACAGCTTCTTATTAAAAAAAAAAGAAGAAAGAGGGCAAATAAGTCTCCCTTTACCTATTTTTTTTCCTAGTCAATGATTTAGAGAAGTTATTAACCTGCCTCTAAGCCTAAAGTTATCTGTGTTGGTATCAAAGAAAAAAAATATATTTTTTAACATGATTATTCATTTCAATCTTGTACTCTGCTAACAATGTCATACTTCATCTTTTCTCTATATCTCATAAAGTTGGATGCAGCCAATTATCCAAATCAGCTATTATAACCAGAATATGATCTGTTTCTCTTTGGTGCCAGCTTCTTGTTGGGGCAGGTTATTGAAGAATTTGTGGTTTTTCCTCTCATTAGGAATTCATTTTGGCCTTGACATTTCACTGATCATTATGATTCTATGTGCTATGCTGACTTTGGGGTGGAATCCCCAGGGAGGCTGCTTTCCCTTCTTTAAGTGCTAGTTAAGCATTCATTCAGGCCTCCCCACAAAGTCCATTCCTTGCTGGAATGCAGGACATGCTGTCTCCCTGTTCCTGTTGACTTTTTTCACAGTCAAGATTACTCATCGCAGCTGAAGGCTGGATAACAATAGATGGGAAACAGCTTCCACATTTTTCCATAGAACAAAACTCAACTGCTTTGCAGCCAACATTTACGAAGGAGTGTTTCAGAGAAGAAGCCAGTTCTGACCCTGCTGCAGAGAAGAAGCCAATTCTGACTCCATTTTGAAAACTGTTTGACTTGCTTTTCATTGCTTTTGTTAATATAATCATACACAAGGGCTTGCTTCAAAGGACCCTGCCCCTCTGCCTGAAACTAAAGTGCCTTTGTTAAATTCATAGATAATCTGACCCTGCCCACCTGTGAATAGAAGAGATTAATACACCCCTTCCAAAGGCTGGCCATTCCCTGGAGTTATTTTGCAAGACTGAAGACCCGTGAACTTTTCTTCCCCACTGCCTCTCCCTCTCTTTTCTGCCTTTTGGTTTTAGTTCCTCTTAACTTCTTTCTCTCTGACTCTACAAAAGAACCTGGCATCCAGGCCCCAACAAGATGGTTATTTTGCAGCACTAGCCTGCCATCTTCTCCATCAGTTGGCTCCCCAAATAAAGTCCCCTCCTTGTCCTAACCGCTAATTTCTCAGATTTATTGGTCTACAGTGCAGGGAGCAGAATGAATTCATACTTGGTAACAGGAGTCGTCAGAAGAACAGTAATCTTTCAGCAATTATTAGAGGGAGACTAGGCACTACACAGGGCTTCCCGCGTAGCCCAGCTGGTAAACTGCAATGGGTGGCCCCCGCTGGAGTCCCGGGTCAGGAAGGCCTCCTAGACAAGGGACAGGCCGCCTGCGCCAGTATTCTTGCGCTTCCCTGGTGGCTCAAATGGATGTGGCAGACCTGGGTTCCATCCCTGGGTAGGAAAGATCCCGTGGAGGAGGGCATGGCAACCCACTTCTTTCTTGCCTGGAGAATCCCATGGACAGAGGAGGTTGCACAGAGTCAGACATGACTGAGTGACTAAACGCACACACAGGCACTACACAACACACTGACCCGGACACACACACCCCACCCCCCGCCCCTTTGCTAGAATATCTTGTTTGTTAACATGTAATCTGCTCAAAGCATTTAGAAGTAAAATTAAAAACTCAACTTTGGGAAGATCTTTAGTATTCTAATGATGACTAGTCAGCATAATTAGTCATGCCAACATTTGTGACACTTCTCCTCCCTTATAGTTGAAATTTATCTTTTCTTAAAAAAGTATATTGCCTTTCTGCCATCAACAATAACAAAAGCCTGTGCTTTGACATTCCCTTTATGTGTTTATGTTTCCTCTTCACCTCCATAATCTACTCTAGGAGTTCCATCCTCTTTCTCCTTCTCCTCCTTTTGTGCCCATATTCCCTTTTCTAGACTGCCACGTATTCTATGTCATTTCTGGTATAGTCCTAACTTTTTCAAATCATAATCTGACTTTTGACAGCACGTGGAACATAATGTAAAATGTCCTTTCCATTTTTGGAGAGTGAATTTCCTAACAATAATAAATGAGCTTATTATTGTCCTAAAGTAAAATGACTGATTATCGCTCAATTCATCTTGTGCTGGTTTATAATAAGGTAAAGAGAGAAGCTCCCAATTTAGGAAGCTTCTTAGATAAGGTATTTTAACTTCTAACAACTTTTTAAAATTTCTAATCAATTACTAAAAAAAACCAAGCCTCCTTTAACTCACAGTCAAGTACTTTAAAAAATGTCTGGAAAACTTGAAACTCCAATTAAATATCTGTACAAATGTAAATATGTTACGTATTTTGTAAACATGGCATAATCTGTTGGCACAGATTTCCTTTGTTTCAGAAAAAAAAAGTAATAAAATAATAGAAAAGTTCAATATTTTTATTTCTTATTTCAAATTCAAAGCATTTTGGAGATATTTCAGAAGCAGTTGGTAAACGTTAAATTCTGCAGGCCTGTTTTTCCAAGTTTCCATTCACATAGACTAGATGTAAACCAGTGTCACCAAAAGCACACCACACACGCACCCACACAGATTCCTTCCTTGTGTTTAGATATGAAATACACCTAAAGATTCTGGGTCACTTTTCATCCCTTCCTCTGTAAAACTGGGAGATAGCTGTATCTTGGGCAGCGATGGAACTTGGGCGATGGGAAGAAACGGCTTAAAACAGGGCAGAATTCTTTCTGAAGCTCGGCTGCCCATGCTGGGCATCTCCGCACACGGTCTTCGTCTCCCTCCTCCCGTCCCCACCCTGCTGGGATGATGCACTGGGAAAACATTAGCTCTCCCCAGTACGCCTCTCAGAGGCTTATAGCTGAGAAAATGTTGCCCCAGGTTTAAAATATCTGTCCAAGGAGCCCAGCGCGGGTGAAACGCTTTCTCATTGCTCTTCACTCCCTGCGGGCTCTCCCCGCCCCCTGCTGCCATAACCTTGGGGATGTGCCTAGACCCGGCTCAGCGCACGTCCCGGCCAACCGCGAGCAGAACAAACCCTTGGCGGAGAGCCAGGAGGCTCCCTCCCAGCCACCGCCCGCCCCCCCACCCCCGCCCCTCCGCCCCAGCGCCTGTTTTTTTTCCCCCCATACAATACAAGATCTTCCTTCCTCAGTTCCCTTAAATCACAGCCCAGGGAAATCTACCCAGAGCCTTCAACCAGCCACGAGCCAGAATGTCGGGGGGCAAATACGTAGACTCAGAGGTACGCTTGGGTGGGTGCGCTCCGGGACGCCGCGCTCAAGGAGTGCTGCTTCTGCTATCTCCCACTCTAAATATTCTGACTGCTTTGCTCGCCCCAGCCCTCTCTCGACGTTGGAGCACTCCTCTGGCTCTGGCATTGCTGAGGAATGGGCTTGGGCGGGGAGGTGAAGAGGAGGCAGGAATGTTTCATGTTTCCCTATTAGGAAGGGGGCCAAGCGAACCTAGCGGCCTAGGTCGCGGAAAGAGGGGGTCGTCGGGGTCCTGAAGTTGGGTTGGTCGGACTGAGGGCGCGTTTCTGAACGGCTTAGGGGTACTGCCTTATTGACAGACCCCCATGATCCGGCTCCTGTCTGCTGGGAGGTGGAGAGCTAGAGTGCAGGGTGAGAACTCATTCACTCGCAGTCTTGGGGACAGTCCCCACGACTCCCCACCAGGCGCCTCAACCAGCTGGCCGGGGCGGCGACGCGCGTCATGTTTGCACTTTCCAAAGCTCTTGGGCCACCTCTAGAACTTTTCCTGCATCTCGGCGCCTGGCAGGGGTGCTTGGATAAAGCACCCTCCTCCTAACTACCACTCCCCCCACCCCCCACCTTCCTACCACCTCCCGGCGCTCGGGCTCCGCCTGGGTGTGGAAACCTAGTTTTCCCAAACGCAGCCACCGCCGTTCAGCCACCGGCCAGGGGTCTGGGAGTGACCTAAGGGTGGGTCGGAGGAGTTGTGCAGGTGGAATATCGTTCTGGACAGTATAGGGGGTCTGACACTTGGCTCGATCCAAAGATAGGAGCTGCTGGCTTGTGTGCACCGGGGGAGGGGGGTGTACGGGTAGCTGTGCAGGGACAGAAACCGCAGAGGGAGGTTGGAGGACGCGGGCAGGTGCAAAGGATACTTGTCCAGAAAGGAACGAAAATGGGAACACCGCGTGGGTCGGGGGGGGTTCAAGCTGGATCTTAAGGATGAACTTAGAAGGAACTACGGAGAGAAGGGAAATAGGGACCAAGGACTGGAGCAGGTGAAGAGCTGGGGAGAGGGTGGCCTGGCGGAGAGACGGGCTGGATAAAAGTCGGAAGTCGGATCCGCTCCCCTGTAGGGGTCTCCGCGGGATTCAGCCGGTTGGGAGTGAGTTGGGCTGGGGCCGGGTGGACCGCGCTGCGGGGTTTGCCCTGACCCCTGGCGGTGGCGGGCGGGGGAGGCAGGAGCTCCCAGCCTGGTACCGAGGGGTGTGGTGTCCTCTCCCCGATCCTCTTAAAAAGCTTGCGGCGCCAAGGACTTTACTGTGCGCGGAGCCACCGCTTCGCAATCGGTTAGTTCGATTTTGAGCCTCGAGGTTTGCCTCGCTGCCAGGCTAACTTTTCTGACTGCGGATTTTTCTTTCTGAAATCTCCTTCCCACCGCCGGTGCCACCCTCTCCCTCCGGGCCGTCTGCCCTCTGCAGGGGCATCTCTACACTGTTCCCATCCGGGAACAGGGCAACATCTACAAGCCCAACAACAAGGCCATGGCCGAGGAGATGAACGAGAAGCAAGTGTACGACGCGCACACCAAGGAGATAGACCTGGTCAACCGCGACCCCAAGCATCTCAACGACGACGTGGTCAAGGTAAGGTGAGGCGGCCAGCAAGGAAGGGATGTGCCCCGAGGAGACGCTGACCGGGCGGGACAGCTCTCCTGTCAGGAAGGCAGCCTATGTTTCCTTCCCTATCTTTGCCACACACTCACCATTTTCTGGGGCTTGATGTGCGGGAACCGCGGTCGTCAGAAATGTCACATCTCCCCTACCCGCTCCTGCCAGTTAGTTCAGCTGGAATTTAGCTAACTTGAATTTTGTAGGAGTTCATATAACTGCAGCCTTCTCCTAGCATATGAACCTCCAGGTCTCAGTAACAGACAGCCCTGTACCCCTTGAGAGCGGGAGGTGTTCGCTCTGCAGGTCATCCTCTCTCCGACTTCGGGTTGAAAGTCTAAGTGAAGCGTGGTGCTCCACTGCATATAGAATTAATAAGCCGTGAGATTGTTTTGTAAGGTCTTATGCCAAAGGTAACAACCGGAGTACTAAGGGGGCAGGTTCCCCCGGTTAAAATTAAGATAACCTGAAATAATTTTCTTAAAAATATGGATGGAAATGCTCCTGACTAAAGATGAAATGTGTGTGTGTGCATATGTATGCAGAATAGAATCGAATATTTAATATTTATAAGAAGGGTATTGGAAAAAAACATGGTGTTTGTGGTACACAGCTAAGCATATTTACACAACCAAAAATAATATGTGTCTTTTGATTTCTCCTATAGACCTCTAGTTAGTTATGGAGAGTTGCTTCTTGAGCTTATGGGACATTCAGGTTGGAGTTCCTTTTTATATTTCCAGGATGTGCTTGGTGAGATTAAAAACATTAATTGAATGGGTATTGGCTGAACTTAGATCTGACTGGGTAGTCAGTTTTTAATTATCATTGTGTTATTCAACTTCGACCCTTGTAGTAAATCTTATCAGAGGAATTTGTTGCTTGAACCCATCTTGAATGGGAAATCATAGGCCTGAGCCATCCTTGGCAGAGGGTTTTCTTTTAGGAAAAGGGAAGGTCAAGGGAATTCCTGGCCCTTGACCAGATTAAAGTGCTAAGACCCCTGGGGCAGCCAATGGGGTGGATGAGCAGTTTCCACCTACCCAGCATCCTATCCAGGATGGGAGGAGCCATAGTTCAGAGACTGTTCACATTTATGAATAATATATTTCAAAAAGGGGAACAATTTAATCTGTAACTGGAAGGAAAACGGAACAGTCAGAATTGAGTCTCTTGGCTTGCTGGTGGAGGAAAAACGAGAATTGGAGCCTTAGCAGACTTTTCTACAAGCCAGATTATGGAATACTTAAAAGCAACAGCAACAACAAAAGTAGTTTATAAATTGGAAATTAGAATTGCTGAAAACTATTTATTAAAAACATTACCTTAAAGGAGCAAAGGGCATTTTTGCTTGTTTCCCTTCTCATGTAGCTTTGAACAAGAAGGAAAAGTGTCAGGAAGAGAGGCAGATTTCAGAAAGGCCTAGCTTCATCTCAGCCTCCCTGTTGTTCCCCTGCAGTGTGAGAGGGATGCCTAGAGCAAGAGAACCTCCCAGGATGAGTCAGAGAGGCCAGTAGTGTGGATGTGGGTCTCTACACATAGCATGACTAAGTTGAGAAAGGCCCCACTGGGAAAAGAGACTTCAACACAGATGGAAAAAAGGCATAACAGGCTTAGTGGAAATAGCAGTTTACAAAACAGCATTTCAAAGAGCAAGTGTGGGGATCTTCATATTAAAGAAATTAAAAGGAGGAGCTAGAGTAAGCTTCTGATGGCCTAGAGAAAGCAAATCCCACCCACTCGCTCATAGAACTATGAGCAAAACAAGACAATCAGACAGAAAAATCAACCTTGAGAATTTCTTACGCCCACTTACTTAGAGGTCTTGCTTAAAGAGGCCTTTCAAGAATGCCCTGCAAAGAAAGACCCAAAGAGTACCATCTGCCAGTAGGCTGGTAAAGGGGGCCTATGCCCAGTGTAGACGCCTATCTTATATTTTTTCTTTGAGTCCAATCATAAATGTAAGGATAGAAACAGTGATCATTCTCTCCATGTTACCATGACAATAAATAATAAATCTCTGCAAATTTTACTTTTGACAATTTTACTTTTGACAATATATATTTGACAAATATATTTCTTAAAATAATAAAGGCACTCAAAGCTTCACTCTTAATGCCTGGTAACTTAAAATTTCATAAAGAAATGGTGGTCAAATGAATGTACTGTTAGAGCTACCCAGTCAGGTAAGAAAAAGTCTATTCTAAAAGCAAGCAGCTCTGTAAAAGCTGCCAATTCTATCCAATACTATAGTCGCTAGCCACTTGTGACTATTTTGATTTAAATTACAAGTAATTGACGTTAAATGCAATTTAAAATACAGTTCTTCAGTCACACTAGCTACATCTTGGGTTCTCAACACTTAAGATTAGTAGCTACCATATTGGATAGCACAGATATAGAATATTTCCACCTTCATGGAAATTACTATTGGACAGCACCAGACTCTTCTCTTTATATTAAAAATGTCCCCATACCAAGGTTAGAAACTTGTAGATGGAGAAGAAATGAAACATAGATCCAAGTGTAAAGAGCAGCCCAGTGTGTCTCCACAGTATCCTTTAGTCTCATAAAACAGCTATTTAGGGTAGAGAAGAAAACTCAAAAGCTAGAGGTGCCATGAATTTATATTCATGAAGGTGGAGTATTAATACCTATTCCACTGCTGATAATGACGTAAGTTAGACTACAATTTAGTTCCAATAAAACTGGTTTATTCTTTCACTAAAGGTTTGTTGTACCATATTATAAGATGTCTATATAGGTATTTATCCAAAAAAAAGTCAGTTACAGATTATTTTAAAAAATTCCTCTAATTAAAATGGTCATACCTTCAGACTCTCCATTCTCCCTCTGAGATTTCTGTCTTCTTCATTCATATGTTTACTGCTTACTATTTTGATTTTCAAATAGATTTATTACTCTGGTATCACAATAGCCACTGATCAATTTATTAAATTCCTAACATTTGCTAGAATAGACACTGTGCTACGTTCTACAAGGGTAATTCCTAAAATAAGCCCTAGCAATCACAAAGATTAGAGTTTATGAAGATGAGATGCATACAGATTAAAAATACACACATACACACATATACACTATCACAACAGTAAGTCACTGCCAAATGTTAACTAATTGGTCCTTTTTTTTTTACTTTGACTGCCAGGAAACACATAACTAGATTTTAAGTTTCATTAATACATGTTACTTACCTCTCACAGATGGTTTTGAATTTTCACTTTTCCAACTGGCATGTTTTATGTGCCCTCTACTGTAATGCTTCTCATCATCATTTTGGAAAGAGACCAGATATATACTATAATAAGAGCTTCCCAGGTCGTTCAGTGGTAAGGAACCTGCCTGCCAATGCAAGAGACATAGAGACTTGGGTTCAATTCCTGGGTCAGGAAGATCCCCTGGAGGAAGGCATGGCAACCCACTCCAATCTGCTTGCCTGGAGAATCCCCTGGACAGAGGAGCCTGGCAGGCTATAGTCCACAGGGTCACAAAGAGTCGGACATGACTGAAGGGACTTAGCATGCACTCACAATACTATAATAAATTAAAATGGTATTGAGCACTGCATAATAAAAAGTTTATTTAAAAGTGAATCATATCAATTATCTTGATCTTAGTAATAATTCTGCAATATGGATGTATATCAAGTTATCATGTTGTACACTTTAAATATTATATTTGTCAATTATTCCTCAGTAAAGTTTTTTTAAAAGTTTCTTAAAAAGTGAATGGAACTGATATTGTTAGGGAGGCCCTACTTGGATAGGGCAATAAGGTGAGAGAGGAAGGATATATTATAGAAAGTTTAATGGAGAGGGGCATGAAGGAGATACAATCTGAGTTGCGTCATAGTGGACAGATGGAATTCAAATAGCTGAGAAAATTACAGGAGAACATTCTTAATGAAAAGGCATGGAAATGGGAATGTCCCACACAGGACATAAGTCTAGGAGGTTTAGTCGCCCATTTTGACTGACATTAGAGTTCATGTGGCATAGTCACAGGTCATAATGATGAAAACATTGAGTGTGGCCAGATGATAGAGTCCTAAGTCCAGTATTCCTGATAAGTTTGAACTGTATTATGTCAGCAGTGGGAAGCCAAGAAAACTTCAAGCTTGGGATGACAAGATGAAGGTGGAGCTTTTTGGAAGATGACTGGTGGAGGTACGAGATGTAATAAAAAGGTAGCCAGTCTGGATGAGGAGCAGTTATGATGTAACTGCATCAGGGTCCAGACATGAAATGAGAACAGTATGTGGTGGCATTGGAATAAAACCATATAAGCACAAAAGGACAGAATTTTAGAAATAGAAGAGAATGTAATGGTTATCAAGTTAACCTCCAATTCCTTTTTTTTCCTTTAACATTAAGAGAAATTTAAGGGTTAAGAAAGGTTAAATTTTTATACACATGTTCACATGGTTACTGTACAAAAACAGATATTTTCAAATATCATAAGAGATGAATAGATAAGATTATGTGATTATTGTCATTAAAGGAGAATTCTGAGCCTAGCTCTGAGACAAATCAAGACATCTTAGAGGAGATATTTTTGAAAATAAAAATAATGCATTTATAACTTTCTTTTCTAAAATTTTAACGTAATATTATTAAATATACACAGATACAACGTTTTCTTTAGCAATCAAGGAAAAAACATACAAATGGTAATCAGACCAGTTTTGGATTCAAAATAATAGCCTAAAGCCACCATGATCCCTTTCAACTATGAAGCATTCTAGAGCCATTAGTGATTAATATCAACATAACCAATTTTAAATTTTATGTTTGCTTACTATACTTATAATCAGAGCACAAGATTTAAAAGATCAGATTGACCCAAAGCATTCAGCACCATATTAATAGTCTCTTCTGTTCGAACTGGTATTGGTTTTGTTTGTTTATTTGTTTAAGAGATAGGCACACAGATGGTTATTAATACTCTACCACATGTAA